ATAGATAGATAGATAGATAGATAGATAGATAGATAGATAGATAGATAGATAGATAGATAGATAGATAGATAGATAGATAGATAGATGTGTACTTATCTTTCTGTCCAGCAGAGGGCAGGCGAGCAGAGAGAACGTGGGAGGAAAAATGATTCCAGGGATCTGAGTCAGCAGCTGTTTTCTGTCTCTTCTTCTCCTCAACTTCCGTGGATCCGCTTCACATCCTAAACTCTTATAATAAACCATGGACACGGGTGTTTGTGGACCATAAGGAGCGTCATTTGGAGGGGGTGAAGATAAGCAGAAGACACCGTGAAGAGGACCATTTTGTGTCGCAAAGGTAACATCTCTGTGCTGCTGGTCGAACACGCTGCTTTTTCCCCTTCTTCATAAAAAAAGTTTGCTAACCTCCCAGAGGCTTTTTGTCGCGCTGTGACTTTTTACCTCCGGTTAAATGTGTTTTTAAAGTCGTCAGGTTACAGCTGTTGGTCAAATCAAACCAAATAAAGCGAACTAGACGTTAGCTTTGATGAACAATGGGATTAAAAGAGACAGCAAGGAGCTCATAGTTTGTCTGTTGTCATGGAGAACAAACCGGAAGTGCTCTGCAAAACTAAACAGGCGCCTGGGGATAGGAAATAAGTGTGCAAGCTGAAACACAGATGTAGCAAATAAAAAACTAACAAGTTAGATGTTTTACAAGCACATAGGGGTTTATTTAAAAAAATGCAATCAATATAAATAAAATTATTAGCCTTCAATCATCTTATGTTGACAAATGACAAAGTTGTTTTGGTACAAAAGGAAGTTTCCGCACAATTTTATGAATATGTGTTGTGGATGCTTCTCAGCTAGTTTCATGCCGAGTTTAAACTCAATGTGTGTAAAGCTGACAGAGTTATAGCCATTTTTATATGGACCCTTTTAGATTAGCTGCAGCGGCCATCTTGAATAGGGCAATTGTAGGTGTTCATCCAATGACTACTTCCTGAAAGTTTCATTAAAAATTGTCCAGTGGTTTTGGAAATATTTTCTAAAAGACTATTTGTAACATTTGAGAGTTTGGTTAAATACCGGTCTAATGATGTATGAGACAAAAAACAAAATAAAGCAAAAAAAAATGCTTCTTGTTTTTTTTTTTCTTTTTTCTAGTTATCGTTTCTCCCGAGGCATCATGTCTGTCAGAGTTTCATCCAGGAGTGCTTTCCCTCCGGTTCGACGGGACCGAGTCATCGCTCAGCTCCCACAGGTAAAACCTGCCGTCTGGTTCTGGTTCTAAAAGGAAAAGCGTCAGCCTCCTGCTGCCCTTGGGTCAAAGCGACGAAGGCCCCGAGGGCAGCAGGAGAGTTAACTGTCCTCTAACCCCCCCAGCTCTCTTTAGTCTTTCAGGAAAGAGGCGGCTCTCCACATTGAGGAAGATTTCAGCAGTAAAGTGAGGACGGCCTGTCAGGAGCAGCGAACCGGCACTGTGGGGTGAGACCTGAACGTTTAAATCACTTAATGCTCCTCCTTTTTTTTTTTTTTTTTTTAAACCTGTTGCTTCTTTTTTCTCTGTCAGATTTAAAATCTCCAAGGTCATCGTTGTGGGCGATCTGGCTGTGGGAAAAACCTGCTTGATCAACAGGTAAACTCAAAGAACTGTCCGGTCACTTTAATACACAGATTTTATTATCACACACACATGACTGAGTTATTGCCAGGAGCTGTGGCGGCCATCTTGAATCAGGTTGACTCCATAAGTTAAACCCGTTGAGTGTTTATCCACAGAGAGTCACATCCACTTATAGTATATGATCTGTCTCATTTTTACTCTGACACTGGTTGTTTTCATTCCTTCATCACCAAAGCGCTGACGTCACCTTCTGTGAATTTACTGCAGAAACTTTCCTCTGTTGGTTCAGGTTCTGTAAGGACGCCTTTGATAAGAACTACAAGGCAACGATCGGCGTCGACTTTGAGATGGAGCGCTTCGAGGTGCTCGGCGTTCCGTTCAGCCTGCAGCTGTAAGTCTGATTTTAGGAATGCTGACTCGGCAAACAGGAAAACAACATTTCTTATTTGTAACTTTTCTACTTTTTTGAGTTATTACATATTATTTACAAATAATTTCCATATGGGAATACGCCGAGATCTCGTAAAATCCTTCAAATATACTGTAGGTATGCCTGAATTCTTTTTTTTTTTTTTTGGCTACTTTTGGGTTTTAGTTATTGTCTTGTTAAGTTCAACGTTTAGCTATGGTTTTGCATGTTTTAGCTTCAGTTTTTCAAATTTTAGCTTTTATCTATTCTTGCGAACATTACCTTTTTGCTACTCTTTTGTTCGTTTTATTGTTTAGCAACTTTTAGATTTAGTTTAATTTAGCTTTAGCTTCAGTTTTTCTAATAGCTTTTATCTATTCTTGCTAGCATTAGCTTTTATTTAATCTTTTGTTCATTTTATTGTTTAGCTACTTTTAGATTTAGAGTTTTATATTTTTGCTTCTAATTACAGCTTATTTTCAGCATTCTGTTTCAGTTTGGCTAATAAAACGTTTGCGAGTGTTTGAACTTGTTTGCTGCTGTTTTGCTAAGCTCAGCTTTTAGCGACATTAGCTTAGTTGAGTTTTCGTTACAGTTTTGCTACATTTTGCTTTTAAGGTTTTATACATTTTAGATTTTAGCTGTTAAATACTAACATTTTCTTAATTTTAGCTTTAAGACAGCTTTTTTTTAAAAGTTTATTTATACACTTCAGTAAATTCACATTTTTTTTAGCTGAGAATGGATGTTGCTCAGCTGCGCCCCCCCCCCCCCCCCCCCCCCCCCTGTGTTGCAGGTGGGACACTGCAGGACAAGAGAGGTTCAAGTGCATCGCGTCAACGTATTACAGAGGAGCTCAAGGTCAGAACTGTTTTCTTTCATCTTTACAGTTTCAGCATCAAGAAAAAGAGAAGAACGACACAAACCTGCGTCTGTTTCTTCTCAGTGGTGATAATCGTGTTTGATCTGAACGACATCGCCTCTTTGGGCCATGCGAGGTAAGATCAGAACCTGGTTTTTTTTTGTATTTTTGGTCATGTTCCGTAGATTTAATGAGGCGTTTCCTCATCTGCAGGCAATGGCTGGAGGACGCGTTGAAGGAGAACGACCCCACCAGTGTTCAGCTGTTCCTTGTCGGCACAAAGAAGGACCTGAGTGTCGGTTTCCTCCTGGTTAATGTTGTTTTATGGGGAGTTCTTTTGGACCTGGAGGGGAATAGTTTGGACGGAGCCCAGAAGCACAGAGTCTGCGTTCTGGTTCACTCCTCAGGAATGTTTCCCCTCGTCCTCTAAGCCCCAAAGTATTTGTGGCTGAAAAATGGAAACCAGTTATTTAAGCAGAAATGTACTTTTTGTCCTGAAAAGTGTGGAAGGATTTCTACAGGTTTTATTGATCTGTGAGTTTAATTTGTTAATAATATTTATTATTTTTCATTTCTTCTTTGTCTGACAGTCTCCTGCTCAGTATTCTCGGATCGAACAAGACGCCCTAAAATTTGCGAGTGAGATCTGTGCCGAGTTTTGGGCCGTTTCTTCTCTGACAGGTGAGATTTTATATTTAAATCCTCAGTTTTCTTCTGCTCTGAATGTCTTTTAGCTGCTGTTTAGCTCATTATAGTTTTTAGCAACGTTGCTGCTAAATTAAGCATTCAGTGACGGTTAGTTATTTTTAGCCAATAGTTTGCTAATTGTAGCATTTAGCTTGGTTTTACTGTTTTGTTATTCGTAGAGGTTTGGCAAATTTTAGCTTTTAGTTACAGTTTTTTAACATTTAGACTTTTGCTACAGTTTTGTTTCTTCTTAGCTTTTAGCTACTGCTTTAATAATTTTAGAATTTAGCTTTGATTTAGCTTATTTTACCATTCAGGTACCGTTTCATGCATTTGAATTTTTAGTGACTGTTTTGAGTTTGCTAATTGTGGAATTTAGGTACAGTTTTGTTGATGTTTGCTTTTGTTTATTTTAGCTACTAGTTTGCTAATCGTTATATTTAGCTATGGTTATGCTACTTACTGGTTTTAGCCACGGATTTGCCAATTTTGGATTTTAGCTGTAGTTTTCACAAAGTTTAACTATTAGCTTTAGTTATGCCCATTTTAGCATTTGGGTACTGTTTTGCTAAGTGTAGCTTTTAGGAACTGTTTGGCTAAGCTTTAGTTGCAGTTTCAGAAAGTTTATCTTTTAGCTTCAGTTTTGCCTATTTTAGAATTTAGGTGCTATTTTGCTAATTGCATTTTTTAGTTAGTTTGATGGTTTTAGATTTTAGCTACTATTGTGCTAGTATAAGTTTTAGTTAGGCTTTTCTAATTGTAGCTGTTAGCGGCTGTGTTGCTAGTTTGAGCTACCTCACCAACTTTTTTTATTCTTACTAAAGGTTGCACGTTTTTTTTCCCCCCATAGTTTGACAGATCTGTGACTCTTTGTCCTTCAGGGGAAAACGTGACAGAGTTTTTCTTCAGAGTTGCCGCTCTGGCTTTTGAGACAAACGTTCTCGCCGAGTTGGAGAAAAGTGGAACGAGGCAAATCGGAGATGTCGTCAGTGAGTACCAAACCAGCCCCCAAACCAGGAAAAAACCATTTCTGTCCCCAAAGTCTCACTCTTTGGCTCTGTGTCCCTCGCAGGAATTAACAGCACGTCCAGCGACCCGTTAGCAGCGTCCAAGAAGAAACCGTCCAGCTGCTGTCAGTGAGTCCAGACGGAGACTCAGGCTGCCGTCCGGCTCAGATCTCTGACGTGTTTTGGGTCCGTTTTTCCTGGCCAGTGAAGATCTCCTGAGAGGAACCAGTCTGGTTTACTTCATGAGTTAGTTAATGCTGCCAAAAACACATATAAAGACTCTAATTAGCCTTTAGCTTAGATTTTATCCATAGTTTTGCTGCTGTAGATTTTCTTCTTTTGATATTTTAGTTGTGTTAAAGAACTTTTTGTACTTTAAACTCATAAATGTGTCCAGTTCTGACAAAATAAGTCACAATGAGGACATTTTCGTACTGATGTATTAATATTTATAAATTCTCCATCTGAAAAACATTAGATTGACAGTTTTAAAACTGAATTCTTATTGGTTTATGATGATGTCATTTGGTTAGTTAAGCCAAACTTTATACAAAGGGATTTCCCAGCAGTACTGGAAATGTTCAATTTTAAAAGGAAATCACAGGTTAGAAGGGATTATTTCTGAAGACATACATTCTGTTTTACTTAGTAGGATCACCAAGATGGTGTCTTTGTTAATACATTTTGTACACAAAAGTCAATATTTTTGCTAATTTTGTGTCATTCTGACTCATTATGTCAGCACGGGTCACATTTGTCAGTGATGTTTCTCATTTAAAAATTGCTTTGTTTTCTGACCTTCTATCGAAGTAGTTTTTAAAGCAGAGATGCTGGTTAATCTGTGTTTTATTAAGGCGCTCAGCTGTGTATTATCTCCAGAGTATTACGTGTCACAAAAACTTTAACGGTACTTTACAAATGATCAGATTTATGACTGAATGAGCTTTATTAAAAAAAAGTCTCTGTAAATATTTAGTCAAATGTTTACTAGTTTAATTAAAAAAAGAGTAAAATGATGTCAAATCATTTTTGTTATTAGCAAAAATTATTTCAAAATAAAAGAAAATGTGCAGATTGAAATATTTCGTGTCCGTCGCAGTTTGTCTCCTTCGCAGGATTTTAATTTTTGAAGTTTTTAAAGGAGTCCAGGTGTTTCCCGTCGATCTGAGGCTGCAGCTCTTCAGGGACGCAGTGGGAGAACTTGTAGTTTTCTTTAATCCACCTCCCTCCCTCGGTGTTCTCGACGGCCACGACGGCGACGCCTGCAGAGACCAGCATGTTAACAGTCCGGGGGGTTTGGTTAAACATCTCGATCGTCTCACTGACCTGCAACCGTGGCTCCCAGCTCCTCCACCAGCCGGATGGCAGCTCTCATGGTTCCTCCGGTCTCGATCCACTGGTCCACCAACAGAACCCTCAGGCCTGTGTGGATCAACAACAAACAGACACACAGACCCTCACCCTTTTGCCTTTGGTGGAGGGTGATAAAAATCTGGATTACTATTAAAAATATTTTAATGAACCTTTTTTTTAGACAATTTGCTTTCAAGTAAAATCTCAGTGGCTAAAACAGTTTTGATGCTGTTTTTCATTTTTGCTCATTAGATATACAGCGGGTAAAATAAGTATTGAACACGTCACCATTTTTCTCAGTAAATATATTACTAGAGG